TACATGTACAAGCTCCAAGGAACTTTGGTGAGAAGACATGGCCCTAGGAGGCGAAGGAGACTTTACAGGTAAGCTTAGGCTTCCCTTGCCCGACACTTTGAGCGGCAATCCTGCCGACTGGGAAGAATGGGCCTGGAACTTTACGACCTACATCTCCATGTCCGAGACAGGTGCTGTTACTTTGCTAGACAACGCAGAGCGAAGAACATATGTGTTTTCTGATAAAGATTTGAAGTTGACTTTGGATACAGGTGACATTGTTGCGGAGCAAGCAGCAGCCCGATTACTTTATATTTATTTGTTTGTTTGTTTGTTTATGCATTTGTACGTGCATGGTTACTTACATATGCATACAGATATCTCCAAGTATTTGTCTGTGCATGTGTGCGTGTGTGTATGGGTATGAGGGTAAATTACTTCGGGCGAGCAAAATCTTCGATGGTATCTAGTCAATGGCGGGCATGCCTCCCTTCACCCCTCTCGCTGCCAGTGGACATGCACTGTGTACATGTGCACGTACGTTTGTGCCCATTACAACCAAGGGCCCACGGCGTCCTTGGTTTTGTCCAGCTCTGCACTTGGCAGCATTGCACCGGCGGTGGTGTGCTTCAGCCCTGGGCTCTCCCAGGATTTCAGGGCCCCTCTCTCGCTACTTTTCCATCCCTCTCTCTTTCTCCCTCTCCTCTCTCTCCTTCCTTGTTGTTATGCATGCACTCCGTTCTCTTCCCGTCTTTCTCTTTCTTTCTGCAACCAGTCGATGCATGTGCATGTCTTTCCTTTTCTTCACAAATCTGTTTTGAGGAGGACCTCGAGGCCTTTGACGGCCAGTGGGAGCTGCAGATCCGCCCCTTGGAACAAGTCGTAACGTTGATGGCGCAACGTGCAGACTTGTTGGCGCTCTGTGCTCTGCTGATGGTGATGAGGATGATGAAGATGACGCTTGACCCGTTCTCCAAGGCTTCGCCGCCTTGCGGCCCAGGACGGCGCAGCTTCAAGAGCCCCTGGAAGAGAAGCCTTGCTGCAGCGAGGGGTGCGGCCTAATTCACGCTTCAGGCTTGACTCGGCCTTTGCTTGAAGAGAATGGGCTGTTAAACCGAGGCAGCCTTGTGGCGCTTGGTTCCTTGACCTGGCGGTGGAGGGTGTGGAAGGCTTGCATGGCTTTCCCCACATCGCAGGGTGCAAATGGAATGAAAGCGTTCCACAGATTTCTTTGCAATTGTCCGGCGAGTTCCCGACATGTCGCGGGGATGGCTGTAGCTTTCACCTGGCTTTGAACGTTGAGGTGACTGAAGCTTTTCAAGATGCCAGCGAAGTTGCACAGATTGCAGCGGTTTGCCGAGGGACCGAGAACTGCTCCATGCATGAAGGTGTCGAGGTTCTCTCGTTGCCGGTTTTCTCGACAAGAGGCACTCGAAGCGCTCTGAGCCCTGGCTCTTTGATCCTCGAGGATCTTCCTCGCCACCAGCGGGCATTGCTTCTGGAAGACGACTCGGAGCTTCACGCGAATCTCAGCCTAAGCTTACAATTGCCTCCAGAGGGTCTTGATCTTCAGCCCATTGTGAACGTCTCCAGCATTCTGATACGGATGCTCCTCTTTCCTTTGAGCTCCTGGGAGGTAGCTACATGTGAGGCGAGCATCGGTATTTGCGAGACCGAGCACTTCGGACCTTATCGCAGCTGGGTGTCGCTGGACATGTCGGCAGCTTGGGACGTGGGAGAGGGCGCAGCCGGAACGTGGGATCCAGATTGGCGATCCTGGCAACTGGCACTGCCTGCTCCCCGCACGGCCTTCTTTCCTAGCCAGGTGGTGGCAGAGCTCATGGTGAGCGGTGAAGATGAGAATGCATCTCTGGTCGAGTTCAGTGGCATCTTGCCCTTCGCAGCCTTCTGGCGTCGACAGTCACCCGGAGCACCAGCGATTCCAGTTCTTCAGCTGCTGGTCATTGGTCGCTCTGGCCATGGCCCATTTCCCTTTCCTTCCAAAAGAAATGAGATCCTGGTGCGCCTGGAGCTGCCCACCACACTGACTGCTGGGACTCGGGGCGGGGCCGGCCTCTCGCTACATCTTCCCGAAGATTATGAGTGCCTCAGCGCCGAAACCATACTCCAGCTCCAAGTGTTCGACGCTCCTCAGGATGCCCAGTTGCTGGAGTCCCTTGAAGTGTCTCGTGATTTGGAAGACTTCCTGGGCTCCGTGACGCATGACACAGGGCGTCGGTGGTGGCAACGAGGCACCCGGCCCAGCGAGTGCTTCCTGAACCTCGAGGAGTTGCTGTGATGCAAAAAAAAGAGGGCGTGTGTTCTTCCGCCTTTTGAGTCTGGGTTTCCTGGCGGAAGTTAAGCCCCTTTGCTAGGTTCGAGGCGTTCTACGCTGGCCAACAAATCTATGTGAAGGTGATGCTAGGACTGCAATTCAGTGGGGAAGAGATATGCCGTGTGGAAGCGCTCAATCCGAATCCTCCCAAGGGCGTTCCACACACCGGGATCCGTGCGCCCAGCTGAGCAGCGGCCTCGACCGTCGATCTCCGCAGACCTACTTACAGTGACGATATGTGGCAGGCCTTGGCACCTCGAGCTCCGCAGCCGAGGCGGCAGAAGTGAGCATCTTCTCTGAGAGAATGTTTTACACAGTCCTCTTTTGGGAGGTGAGGATTGGGAGGCCTCCACGCCCGACGCGCTCAGCTTCCCCAGCTCGGGCTCCGACGGCTCCGTCTGGCAACTTGGCATGAAGCAAACGTCACGGAGGAGTCTCGGATTGAGCCAAGATCTGCCAAGGCAGGGCGGCATGAGCGTGCTTGGCGATCTGCACTCCGTTACCCTGCAGCCCTCCACACTCTCCTTCTCTGCTGTGCCTTGGTTTGCCTTGGCCTTGTTGGTCCTATGCTCTTCGGGCACCGCAAGCAGGCGGCTTTTTGGCTGACCGTCACCTTGCAGCCGCATCGGCACTTTGCCGCCGCTGTCATCATCGACGGACCGAAGAGCGTCGATTTTCAAACCTGTACGGCTCGCGTCAACGAGGCTCTCCGTGGTTCGATGCATCCTGCGTCTCTTTCTCAGCCTCCGGCCAGTGTCGAGGCGCGAGCTGAAGGCGTACGCCCCTTGCCACTTGCAGCTCGGCAGAGGGCTTCGGTGGCATGTTGCAGCCAGAGCCGTGTGTGTCGCGGGTTCTGACGACTTCTGTGTCAGACAATAAGGGGCCAAGCCCAAGCTGCGTGGCTGGCACGTGGCCTTGCCTTTTCCGACAGCTGCAGCCACCTCATTGTGCCGAAGATCCCACCCCGGCCCTGCCCAGAAGTCGAGCGGCTTGGCTCAAAGAATTTTCGGCACCTGGTCGGGGCGAGACGAAACCTTGTACGATGTTGGGAGCTGAGCTGAGGCTTTCGTCCATCTCAGAGAGCACCTCGAGCCCGGTGAGTTGTATTGTGGCTCGGCTGCACGGAGCGGCATGAACCTGAGATGAGACTCAATAGCATCCCAGTCGTGCAAGGCTTCGAGGTCTCGGTGCGCTCTTTGAGCCCTGCAGCCGGTGAGTGGTACGTCTGGACACAGAGCAGCTCCGGGCCTGAACTCCTGGAGGGGTCCCCCTGGCTGCAAAACGTGTGGCGTGCGAGCAGCGTGCGAGTAGGCCAGTTGCTGTCGAAGCGGAAAGTGATGGAGAGTGCTTCAAACGTGCTTAAACGCAACACGGAGCGGAGCTACCACGAGGTCGCTGGCCGTCTTCAACCCCGACCACGGGGAGCCTTCCTGGGAACTCTCGGTGGAGGACTTGCAGGCCTGGGCCGCCCCGGCGCCCCCAAAGACTCTGACTTGGTTTGGGTCCCGCCAGGTCAACATCTCCCTCTCGGACCGCAGGCCGGCAGCCACAAGCCATAAGCGCTTCCCCCTCACTGTGGGCACCAAGCATACTGCCCGCTCGATGTTGCAAGGATCTCGTGCTAAGCCTAGGAGTTGTTCGACATCCTGTACATTTGGAGGTGGTATAGGTCTTTCGATTGACTCTGTTGTTTGGCTTTGGCAAGGCCCTTCCTTCTCAGCGGAGCCACTGGGAAAGTCGAGGTTGACTTTCTGAGTCCCCGCAGTGGGAGGCGCCTCACCGAGTCAGAGCGCAACTTGGAGACTCGAATCGAGAATCGCGTGTCCCTTATGGAGGACCGGCTTGCGAATCATAGCTCCCAGCGGCTACATCTGGGGCCCACCCGTCACAGCTGGCGTCCTTCCTCGCGATTGCTGGGCAGCGCTGGCGATGCCAAGCGGCTGGCCAGGTTGCGAGGCGGCGTGGCCCCCAGCCGCCTTTTTTTTTGTCAAAGCTTTTTTCTTCAAGTTCCTTTTCTTCTTTCAGTTTACCGAGGTTGCCAATGTGGTCACTTGGGACGGCATCGACCTCGTCGCCAACGAGACTTACATCCTGCAACTGGAGGCTTGCATGGGGATTGCAAGGGCTGGGCAGCCGCGGCTTAAGCGGCCTGCTTTGACAGGTTCGAGTGCCGGCCGAGATGCCTCGCTTGGGAAGCAATGCTTTCTTCGTGCAGCTGGGTGCTTTCCTCCCGAGCTCCTCTTCGGAGGCCGTAAAAGACAACAATGCGAGGTATGGGGGCGGCTTTCTAGCAGAACTCTTGTGGCAGACCAGGCTCCATGGGCCGGTGCGGTCCTGAGCAAGGACGCGATGGGCGAGCCATTTCTAATCTTGGCGATCTCGGAGGCTTCGGTGGCTTGCAACTTGGCCATATTTGGGAGCCATCTTAATCCATGCAGCGCCTGTGCCAACAACCCCATCCTTGCCTCTTCAAGGCTCTTGCACGGCTGCCGGAATCCGCGCAAACTACGTGCGCTTCGCCCTGCGCTTGCCTGCTCTGCAGTCAGGCAATGTCCTGCAGATTTCTGGCGACGTGGCGACGGCAGCATGGCTTCGCATACAGCTTACGTGCCATCCGGCCCATGTGCCTTTTTGCTTGGAAGGTTACAGTAAGGCTTGCAGTAACTTCTGTGTTGACCTGGGGTAGTTCCACGTAAGTTGCATGTGTTGCGATGGTGAGCATGAGCAGCACCAGGCCGGATTGACCTTCTCTGCATCCTGTGCCATCCGCGCTCCGTTGGCCACCGACATGCCTCGTGGCGCCATCGCAGTCCCCGATGGAACGGACTGCCAGTACCGCACGACGGAAATGACACTCTTGGCTCCTTGGAACATTGAACAGTGTAGGACCGGGGGCCGCCGGGGGGGGTTTCGGCTTTGGCTTCTTCACCTTTTCTTCGTGCAAGGACAGCGGCGGCGTAGTTCGGAGCGTGGATGCGCCTTTGTTGCTTCTCAGCGCCTCGATGCCATGGCCAGGGGCCTTCTACGCGGTCGAAGTGCTCGGCCGCAATCCGCCCAGCCCCGGCCCTGCCGGCACTTGGACCTTCCAAGTTTTCGACTCCGCAACGCAGCTTCAAGCCTTGCTCCTTGCCTTAGCACTCTTTTTCTTGGGAGTCGCTGACGGTCTATTGAGTCTATTGCGACATGTGAAGCTTGCTGCGACGAGGTTTCTCGCTGCATCGGCGGTTGGCTGTCCCGTGCGCCGTGCTCTTTCAGCAGGCTTGCTGGCTGCACCGGAGCCCTACAGCGAGCAGGCGACGGCTTGGGAAATCACGGGGCGGCCAGGGCAAAGAGATCACGTGGTGCTCTCTCTGTCGGTCACAGACCGACCAGCGGTCGAAAGCGGCTTTCTCCCGCTGCGCCTCGTCGCTCCGAAGGGCTGGACGCCTGGTCGCAGGCTCGAGGCTCTTCTTTGGAGCTTCCTTTCCGAGCTCTTTCCGGGGTTTACAGGTCGGTTGCAGGGGGCCAGGTGTAAAATCTCTAGCACCTCTCAAGCTTGGTTCCGCAGAACACTGAGACTTAGGAGCTTTGTGTCTCCTACTACGGGTTCCTTCGACGTCGACGGAGACTGCTCGGCTTATCCGGCTTACCCCGATCCCTCCTCCAGAACTTTGTGGCCGGGACCTTTTGGAGCCTGCCGTGGACACGGCCGCGAGGCGGTGATTGAAGTGCCGGCGGGCCTGGAGCCGCTGAACGTCTACTCCTTGCGGGTGGCCGTGATCAATCCCAGGTATGAAGAGCTCTCCTTGGAGGCCGAGGAAGCCTCGGTTTGGTTCCTGGAGCTCGGGGACGAGGCGAGTCCCCCGCTTCTTGGTCCTCGGCTCCGATTGCTTCGTGACATCCGTGTGGAGCCCACGAGCACCGCGGCCCAGGGACGCAAAGCGCCCCTACTGCTCAGCTTGGTGCCTTCCACGTCCGTTCCTTCACATGGACGCCTCCGCATCACAGCACCCCAAGGCATCGCTTTCGAGCCAGGCAGCTGTCTTTTGGTAGAGTCCGCTGGTGCCTGTGAGCAATGCTCCGCCGTAGTGGAAGCTTTGGACGATCTTGCGGCCGCGGCTACGAAGGTCCGGCGCTCAAACAGGGAGGTCACTGTCATAGCCTTTTCCTCCTGAAGCCTTTGACTTGCAGGCTGGCGGATGGTGCGCTTCAACTTCTGAGTGTTCAGACGAGGCCGGCGATTGTCCAGAGGCTTACTTTTCGTTTGCCGTGGCACTGTCTACAGCACAGCAGTCTGAAAGCATCAGTGTTGCGGCATCCTGCAGCTTTCGATTGCTTCCCGAAGACGTCCATTGCGAGACGGAGGATGCCGAAACCGGCCAGTCGCTGGTCCTGCAGCTTTCCCGAATGCAGTTCGTTTTTGGCCGGCGGTACGAGGTTTCTGTGGACATTCGACACCCTTCCGTGGATGTCGCTGAAAATCTCAGCGACCCATGGGAGGCTTGGCAGCTGCAGACGGAAACGCTCGTGGATGACCTGTGGCAGCCCGTGGACGTGGGCGAGGCACGAGAAGTATAGGAAGTCTCACACATTTTTTCGTTGGGAAAGCTTGTTGGCCGCAGCATCTTTTGTGTCACCTTTGAAACATGCAGGCACCAAGCTATGCTCTGTCTCCGGCATTGGGCTTGAGTGTTGAGCTACAGCTGGAGCCGCCCAAACGCTTGCGCAACGGGTCTCTTTGCCAGCCGCCGGTGGCTGGTGGGAGCACGGGCGTGGTCCATGTGCTTCTGGACTTGGCCCTTCCACTGCTCGAGGGAGACGAGCTTTACATTTGGCTGCCGCGTGACCAGCTCATCTCTTCTTGCCAACTCTCTGACTCTTCACCGCCATCAGATCCATCAGCAAGCCAGGCTTCGCTCTGTGGCGATCCGGCAGAGCTCGAGATTGATTGGGAGGGCCGGGAGGGCACGGGCGGCACGGTGCCTCCGGTGGAAGTGGATCCAAACGCAACCAGCACAGCGTCCACCACGAGCACACTTACCAGAACGAGCACCACAAGCACGACCACCAGCACCATAACATCAACGACGTATTCGGGATCAAGCACAGGCTGCGACAGCTCTGATGGCGGCCTGTGCCGTGGTTGCATCCTTCTCGATGTTGGTGCCTGTGGCGGAAACGGTGGATTGCTGAGGTGTTTGAAGTGCCGCTGTGATACTCACTGCGAGCTGCTCCGACGCGGGGTTTGGGCCAAGTTCAGATCCGACTGGAGATCGTTCAGAGTCTAGGCAGCAAGCAGCTGCCGGCTAGAGATCCCTTCGAAATTGCGCAATCCTCAGGGGGCAAAGCATCGTGCACCATGCCCGGAGCTACTGGCGCGCGGCGCACCAGAGCAACCGAGCTGCACGAGCCTTTTGAAAGTTGAAGGGGCTTTGCATTTTTTAGATTTGTACTGCGTATAGGGCAGGCTTGCAGACCTGTTGTTTTTCAGTTGACATCACGAGACTTAAGGGGGTTAAAAGTCCTCCTTTGGAAATCCTGGAGAGGCTCCGGCAGCACTCTGGCATCGGAGGTGGCCCCGACGTGGGCAGTGCGGCCGCTGCTCAATGCAGCGGTACGCCTCACTGCAGGACAGTCCCGTCCCGTAAGTTCACAGCTTTTGAACGTCGTCCATTCAGGACAGGCCCCACCGGAGCTCGCGTCTGGAAGCATGAAGGTGGGATGACTGTTCCGTTGGAGAGAAGTCATGTAATACGGCGTCCTGATAAAGAGAAGCTGCTAGCTATTACGGGGCTCGCTTATCTCGCCTCGCTTTGCTGAAGTACGCATCGACGAGCGTCCACACTCGGGAATCGCAATGCAAGTAGTCACTTCTGTTGAACAGTCGTTTTGCTCCATGCTTCCGACGGCGGCCTCATGGCCGGGGGGGGGGGTTGCAGATTTGCAAACAACCTGTGCACTTCCATAGAACTTTCAAAGTGCTGAGCATTGTGAACCTGCACGAAGAGTGACTTTTTTTCGATGTGATCGGGCGTGTACATGGGGAATGACGTTTTGTTTATGTGTTGTGATGCCGCTGATGTGTGTCTCGAGTGGGAGCTTGTGGAATGGAGCATGCAAAGATCAACGATCCTCGCGTGGATCTTGGATGCAGCCCACAAGCGAATGGGGGCGTAGCCAAAAAGCTTCGTGCTGTGTATTCTCGCCGATTGTGAGATAAACCCGACACTTTGTAGTTATTGTAGTTCATGCGATCTCTTGTTGTCCAAGCCAGGAAACAGAAGCGTGAGCCGTGCAGAAGAGTTTGTCTTGTTTTAACTGCATGCTAACGTGTGCTGTAAGGCGTGGCCATCTCAATCTGCCGGCAGCGACTCCGTGCTGACCCTGGAGCTCAATCCGCGGTTATCGGCATCGCACCTGCGCCTGGTGGCTGTCTCCCCGCCGGTAGCTTGGCTTGGATGGGGATATACACAGACCGCACAAGAAATGTACTTACGCATTTACCTTTTTTTTTATGTAATATGTAGGTTTGCATGCATGGACGCGTGTACGGGCCTACGAATCTACATGTCTGCATGTGTACCTGTGTATGCATGCATGCATGCATGCATGCATGCATGCATGCATGCATGCATGCATGCATGTATGTATATGTGGTCAGGCGTCTGGCGTTCCCAGCCTCCCCCCCCTCCCAATGGTATGGTCTGGCATGGGTGGGGGCTGGCATGTGCGGAGAGCGGGATCCATAAACCGTCACCCTAACCAACCTAAACCCCCAACCCTCCCTAAGCTCTTGTCGACTCGAAGCGTTATAACTGGTAACACTGGTAACCTTAAACCCTAAACTCCCCGAACCACCTCGCTTGTGTGCATTGATCCTTAACCATGCGAGAGGGAAAAATAACCCAACCCCAAAAGCTTATATGCTAAACCCTAAACCCCAAAACCGTGCAACCACACCACAGAATGAAGGAGGGACCCCACGCACCCCACTTAACGGGGGGGGGATCCTGGACCATGCGGGTTCGCTTCTCGAGGCTGACGCTTGCTGCATTTCCTCCTCTGTAACCTATGCATTCCCCCACTGCCTCCTATGCAGCCGTTAATTAATCCGAACGCCTGGCTGCTTGTGCCTGGATATGTACGTGTGCATATGTGTATGCACGCATATAGAAGGGACACGAAACAGGTTATTATTGCCATAAATGTACATGCAACCTTTCTTAGTTTGTTATCGCTTGAAAAAAGGAAACATAGTAACCCTCGGGCCTATAGAAGATTTGGAGCTTGTCAACTGCCTTGGTTCTTCCCACCGTCTTTCTAGTTCCAACGGTGCGACTCTGTCAGCTGGGCGGGTGGGAAAAATAGGAAAACTCCACGAGAAGTGATAAAATCCATGATGCAGCGCAGGACTTTGACTTCTTCGGCACGGAAAGTAGCCCAGGCTCGGGAATTATATCACCTCCAGGGAGTACCGTAATCCAGGGGTGATTGGCTAGAACTAATCTTCACCCGGGTTCGGCAGTGGTGTGAAACATTATCTAATTAGGTACCACAACCCCATGTTATTATGCATAGCCTCATTTTGTCAAGAGGTCCCAGTTGACAGCTTTAAATTCACTAACCCGAAAAGCCGAAGGCCCTAACAACCCAAGAAACTTTAGCAAAGCCCCAAGCTTGTTGTCTCTCTGTTTTGGGAGGCCTCGTGCTGGAAGCCTTTGGCCCACGGCTTTTGCTGGCGCTGGCCCTACAGCCCTGGAGCCGCCGAGAGATCTGGCTCCCTGCTTAAGGTTAGGGCTTAGGGTTTAGGGTACAAAGGAACGTGTATGTGGTTATATTACGGTATATTGCATGAATTTGAGCAAGAAGCTCATGCATGGATTTGTTTCGCTCAACCGATGCTCTGGAGGCTTGCAGAGGGTTTCGGAGAAAGGCCCCGCATTGCTGTCCTTTCAGGCTGGGTCCCGTTCGCTTGGGACGTGGAGGCGGCCCAACGACTTTCCACCTGGCAACGATGTTTGGCGAAGGCTGGGTGGGCCTGGATGTGAGCCAAAACCGCTTCTAGTTTGTGGCTGTAGTGAGTCATGTGGATGGTGCATTGCACTGTAACTGCAGCCTTGTATCTCCTCTCGTTTCTGCAAAGGCTGTTGAGGTTGTTATATCATCGGTTATGTGATGACCGGAAGGTGCTTACGACATCATGGAGGAAGTGCTGGGACTTCGTGGCTTTCGGTTGCCGGGAAGTGCCATAGCAGCGTCAATCCATTCAGAATTTGCCGGAGCTTCGTGTGGGTCCTGCGTTTGAGGCATAGTGTGCCATGAAGCGACACTCTGGCGTCAGCTTCTGCCTTCGGAGAACCCACTCATCGCTTCATTGCCTGCCAGCTCCTTGCCCAAAGTCTTGGTCCGGAGTCCGGGGCCTGGGTCATCCCATCGGTATGGCAGATGGCAGGATTGGGAGAAGCCGCCTGGCTGTCCCTTACCTTCTCCTCTGGGCAGCCAGCCAAAGCAATGGCAACTTGGGCTTCGATTTGCCGACTTCACAGCTAGAACCCCAAAAGCCCCAGACGCCCAAGGCACGTCTGACGCTGTCCTCTCCGAGAACCTGGGAGCTCCAGGCGACTGGCGCAAGCTTGGCCGAGGCAGTTTCGCAGCCACATCAACTGGTCCAAAGCAAGGTATGTAGCAGCCACTTCTTCAAGTAAGTAAACCCCGCTTCTTAGTCTAAGTCACTTTGGAGCATGTCGGCTTGGCGTGAAGCTGCAGGTCGCTGCAGGAGAGGTCCTGCACACGGTCTCTCGAAGCAGTCTTAGACTTTCTGAATCTTCCCCAATTTCAGCGGCCACACCAAGCCTGTGCCTCCAAACGTTGCGGCTAAGGTTCCTTTGGCCAATGCGACATCCTTCACCACTAGCACCCTTAGCATGACGCTCGTTGAAGAGCTCCTTGCCAGGCGCAGAAAGCTTGCATTGTCAATGCCGTTCAATAGACGCAGTTCTTTCGACTGGAGGCCTCGAACCTACTCGCTCACGGTGCCTTGGCCAAGCCATGATTGCCGAGTGGCCCTCCCCTTGTCCGGAAGATCTTGATGAGGTTTGGGCGCTTTCCTTCAGCTACGAGGAGCCCCCAGGCGGCTTTTGGCTTCTTGACGTCTTTGATGCTACACCGCTGCCCGCAGCTCGGCCGCAGCTCTCAGGCTCCCCATTCTCTGGCAATCGGGCTTGGACAAACTCTCTCCCGAGGTGGCTACGAGTGATCTCGGCTTCAGCCTGCCGCTGCGAGGTGGGCTTAGCCTGAGCCTGTCTTCGTCCAGCGATACCTCTTGCCCTGAAAAAACACCCAGCAGCCACTCTCTCCCCACAATAGCATGGAACTTCTGTGAGAAAAAGCCGAGGAGCCTGGCCGTTGCCCGCCTTGTCGCTGCAGCTCTCCATGGGAAGCCCTCCGCCGGGTGGCCGCACCTTCGCGCGGCTGCTTCTGAAGCCCTGGCTCCTCAGTGGAAGGACAAATAATAAAGAGTTGGGGGGATTCTGTTTGGTCCATATAGGGCCTCCAGGCCGAGGTGTAGTAGCAGAAGAAGGGTGGGTGAAATGGGTTTTCAGTGATGTTTCGAGGCTTCTCAGTGCATGGCTCCTGGTGCTGCCGCCCCCTGGCTGGCTTTTGAGCGATGCTTCGCCTGGACCGGAGGGCCGATCCATGGCCTCCCTGGGCTTCCAAGACCTTTCAGCTGGCTGGGAGGCACCAGGGCCCGTACTAAAGCGCCCCAGACCCCATGGATTCTTAGGGAAGCCTATGTGAAGTGTATCTATTTCAGTCTTAAGGTGGAACTGCCTCAAAACTCACGGTGCCTTTTTTTCTCCAGGCCACCTCTATAAGTCCTCTCTGCTTTTTTTCTGCAGGTCGAGCTCCAAGTGGCCGCCTCGCTGGAGCGGTGTCGTTCGCACCGGGCTCTCTGTGCTTCCTTTGTCGGTTCTAGTTTCCTATTCTAGTGGCACCTGAATTTGGCATTTTTGGGGACGACCGATCGATTTCGTGGCATGTCTACCTTTGAGTGTAGAGGCGGGCACGCGCGCGGAAGTTTAAAGTCCAAGCAGTTAGATTCAGTCGCAATTTGCAGGAGACGACCACGGACACGGCGTGGTTCGTGTTGGCAACGGATGGAGAGGTCGGTGAGGACCTGGCTGCCCAATCCTGGGGCTACGTGGACGGGGCCAACGTGGCTCCCATGTGGGGTAGCGTGAAGCATGCCATCTTGGTCGCGCTAGTGCAGAAAACGATTTTGGATCGTGAAGACGTTAATTCGAAACTGA